TGATTTTTTGCAAGTTGGCCTTTCTAGCAGAGCTGGACCCTCCTCCTCCAGTAAATCCTCCAGATATCACTCTGATCTCCCCCATATGTTGCTGGTGTGGCTCTGGTGCTTGATGCTGAGGGGGTGGGGGTGGAAGAGCTCGGTTTTGATTATCATTGGCCATATAGCGTCGCAGCTGCCGTTGCCGGATTAAAAATTATATTTCCCTCTTCAATTGGATACAGTCGTCGGTGTGATGACCATGGTCTCTGTGGAAGTCACAATACTTCGTAGGATCCCTTTTTGCCGAGTCTGCTTTCATCCAGGGTGGTCACTTTAAGAACTTCTCATTTTGTGCCTCATATAGTTTCTGAGACACTGTAGTAGTCAGGGGGGGTGAGCTGCCGGGGCGCATACCTTGGTTGTAGCTCTGGTTGTGGAGGGCCGAGGTGATTTCTGACATTTCCTCTTCTCTTCGGGGAACGCTCTCTGTCTCTTCTTGGAGACTTGCATCATTCTCTTTCCTTTCTGGGACTTTGTTCTCTCTTCTTTTCTTCTTTCTTTTTCTCCTTTCTCGACGAAGAGCTCCCGACCTTGGAGAGGAGTGCTTCCTCACCATTTATGTACTTTTCTGCTTTGGCGAGCACCTCCGCCATACTAGCCTAGGGGTTCTTTGAGATAGAAAATATCAGGTCTTTTGACTGAACCCCCAGACCTGCTATAAAGGCTGTAATAGCAAATTTTTTGTCTGGGACATCCACCTTCAAGGATTTTGAGTTGAACCGTTAGACATAAGACCGTAAGTTCTCATCTGGTCCCTGTTTCACATTTAACAAATGGTAGCTCGATTTCCTATAGGTCCGAGCTCCAATGAAGTGGGACACAAACGAGATTGACAACTCTTTAAAAGAGGAAATCGAGGCTGGGGGGAGTCTGTTGAACCATGCTAAGGTTGAGCCCTTCAGGGTGATAGCAAAGGCCCTGTATCTCACTGGATCTTAATATCCATGCAACTCCATTTGGTTTTTGTAGGTGTTGAGGTGGTCTACGGGATCTTTTGTCCCATCGAAGGCATCCACCTGTGACATTCTGAATTTAGGTGGGAGAGGGAAGTGCAGCACCCTGACAGTGAATGGGGATTCAATTTGCTGCACCAAGGCATCCATAGTGACTAGGACCTTGCTCTTCACTGCCTCCTTCATTTGGCTGAGCTCTTTTTGGATGTCTTTAAAACGTTGCTCCCAGTGGTATTCTCTTCTCTCCTGTTGATAAGAGAAGAAGTCGCTCCTCTCCCCTTCCTTATACTGACTTTGTCATTTCTCGTTGTGACCATTCCTAGGGGGCAGGCGAGGTTCTTGCCCCAAGGTCTGGCTATTTTCTCCCACCTCATTAACTTCTCTAAGGGGGTCGAGATGCGGTTGTTCCCTTGGTGGTGGGTTATTCTGGCCTCCTTGGCCCGGTCGCGCCTCCTGTGGGAGTTGTAGGAGCTTTAAGAGCTCTTCGTTCTGTTTTATTAGACGTTCATTGACAAGACGAAGGACCTCCATCTCATTATTCATGAGAAGACCCCTCCATGGGGGGATCTACTTCTTGAGCATTTTCGGATTGTCTGTTATTTGCGACTTCCTGTTGATCTTGCATCCGTAGAGGATTGGTCTGACTTCAGCTCATAATTCGCGTTGATACCATTAATCTCTGAAAAATCAGTTTTATTTGTAACAAGAACAGTCGTTCCCACAGACGGCGCCAAACTGATGGTGTATTTCAACGTGATACAAATTTGTGATGACGAGTAAATGAAAGAAACAATATTGAAATTGTTGAGATCTAAGCTACTAGACTCGAGTGAATGATACTGAGAATTATCGGGGAGTTGGGGAATTATCACAGTTGGAATATAGTGGTTCACCAGCTCGGGGCTCGGCTAATCCACTCTTTAATGGAGACTCTTGCTCCTTATTTTTCAATAATGATGATTGCAAGAGTACAATGACTAGTTTTTGCCTCTAGGGTTCCTCTCTTTCCTTGGGGGCATTACATAGTATTTATAGGGCTGTTCCCTATTCAGTGGGATCTTAGCCGAGATTCTTGCCCTTATTTCGTGGGTTCTCATTGATTATAGGAGAAAATCTTGGTTGGTTGAGATTAGGTGTCTTGATTATTGCTTCCTAACGCTTTTAGGAATCTCTCGTGATCTTCCAGCTGTTGCCTTGGTTGTTATTGCTCTTGCTTATCTCGGAGGGACCTCCAACTCTACTCTTTCGAGTTTTGTTCGTCTAGTCTGATTTTTTGGGCTAAGCTGACCTTCTGAACTGGCGTTTGGAATTTATTTTGAGATATGATCAATAAATAAGTTCAAAAATATTGTATAATAAAATTTAAAATTTATCACATTGTGAGAATTAAATAACTCATAATCCCACCAATTTGGCCTCCCTTGTGGGAACAGGTTTTAATGTATTAATTTGAAAACTTCAAAGTCAAAAACTGTTGCTACAAATTGACATATTAAAATACTCGGTCCATGTGCCCAGCCTAGGGACTCGTACGATGACCCAGAATCCTCGCATGATCCATGATCTTAAAAAAATCTCTACTTTTATATTGATTAAATTTTGAGATCAAATTTAAATTTCAAATGATATGACAGTCGAAACATTTTGAGATTTTCAGATAAGTATTTTATGGTAGCAGTTTTTACTGTTACAAAAAAAATGTGTTTTGAAAGAATTTTTTTTTATAATAGTAATGTAGTCATACAAAATTTATCCTTTGAATGATTGGTTGCATCTATCGACTCATATCCATCTTGGCTTCTAAATATAAGTTTGACATCACTTATTCGAAATTTGACTTCTTCCCCATCTACATGAAAATTAGAAATTTTGACCTTGAAACACACAATAATATCAAGGATATTGTTGTCACTCTACATGTACCATGTGTTATCCACTTTATTCTCTATGACACTTTTAAAGAATAATGAGAATGGAGCCTTTTCCAAACTGCTCGTGTTCTCCTCTCTGTACAATCTCATTCATTACCCTTATAATAACAAGTATCTTTGATCTGTACTTCGGATCATATTTTAATTTCTTCATTGGGTTTTTTTTTATCTATTTGATGTTTTTAACACCCTTCTTCACAAATAATGATTCCACACTTTGGTCCGACACCGATTCCCTCCATTTTAGCTCATATTTATTTTTTGACAACGTTCTTTTTCTGGCCATGTCTGAAGAAGCAAGGCATATGCACATTTATCAAAATTGAGAGAGTGAGTTCATAAAAGCAACACATCTAGATCTATGTAAGAATGAAGCAACAAATACCCGCAATCATACCAACTAAAAGACTGAATTTAAATAAAAAAAAATACACACATCTCAAACATTATTGTTTTTTCTTTCATATGGTGTGGACAGATAATGTGACACCATATTTGTAATATTTGTTGATATTCAGCATTAGATTCATCCGGCCATCATGTTTCTATAGTTGATGTCTATGGCGGCCGGCCTATTCTATTTATATTGATCCAATTGTAACTCTTTCATTTTGGTGGTTCTAACATCTACCGATATTGACCCAATGGAAGTCATTTTTCTTTTCTTTGGTGACTCTATTTAGCTATCAATATTCAATAAGATAACACTATGCTAAAAAATAATATTTAGTTATCTTAATCCAGCTTATAGATTACTTATTCCATTACTCGACTTCAAAGAGTCGCAGTTTATATTGTGTTCAACCCATACTCGACGTCATAGCTAGCTCTAATACTACAAATTATTATGAACAAATGTATAAAAATTATTCCTAGAAATCGACTTGTAAAGAAGGGAGTTCAAAAATTTATATATACACATAATCTTATTTTCACAACAGTACCCTTTAACTTCTATTTCTGATTTGTATATACTATCTGCAACTTCATCCATTTGCACACCACTTCCTCGTCGGAGAGAGAGAAGAGAAGACACGATGATCTCAGCGACCTTACGCGTCATAGCGGATGCGGGATGATCTCAGCCACGAATGACACTTTCGCGAGCAAGGGACTTTATTAAAGGGTATTGTGTGAATATGAGCTGCACAAGAATCTATAGAATTATTTTGTGGAAATGTGTGGTGAACACCTCAATGAGTGATCAGAGTGTTTTTCAAAAGCCAAGGGGTAACAATACTGCATCTGTGACCCTTAGGGCAACAATATAGTTCAAGTTATTTACCACAATGCGGTAATTTTTAAATTTTATTATTGATCTACGGCACTTTTGAATTTAATAATTACGACATTTTTTAAAATTGATGTCAACAATCCCATTTTTGTTTAAAAACGAGATCAATAATCACTCTTTTAAATAAAAAATATGATTAGTAGTTACAGTGGTCATAGATGAAAAGCATGTAACTTAATCGTGTTTACTAAATACACCATTTAATTAAAAAACTCATAGTCCCATCTATTTGGTGATGTATCAACTTCTCTTGTGGGAAGGAACATGTTTTAATGTATTCATTTCTTACTGGAATGTTTAAAGTCAAAAAGCTAATGCAACAAATGGACATATTTAAAACCTCAGTCCATGTGGCCAACCTATGGACTCGTACGACGAGCCAGAATACATGCATCAAGAGGATCTTAAAAAAAAAAAAAACACTGCTGGAAACGTGATTCAAAAAATAAAAAAAAAGAAGAAGGAAGGAGGAGGAGGAGGCGCTCCTTAATTCCTTGTTGGACACGTTAAAGTCAAATTTCACATTCACATATTGAATGAATACCGCAGTCCATGTGGGAAAGCAAGATATAAAAAAGAAGATCCCCGCCGGGAGACTCGGAAAAAGAGGAGGACAAGGTGACATCAAGTTTTGAGTTTAACATCAGGTAACAGCCAACAACCATTTCCCCATCCCTCTGATCCCCACTATAAAAGCTCACCCACCACCCCTCATATCCACACCAATCCTAAGTATCAGTTGAAAGACCTATCCAGATAGCAGTTGCATACCCACATCACATGGATCCTCTAGTGTATAATGCTGCCGTTTCTGGTGATATTGGTATCCTTGTGCAAAACAAGGACAAACTTGTGATTGAAGTCACCCCAACCAAAAATAGTGTCCTCCACCTTGCATGCCAATCAGGCAAAATAGAATGTGTGCTGCAGATTCTTTTAATGCATAAATCTCTATTACGTAAAAAGAATTCAAATAAGGATTCTGCGTTTCACATGGCAGCCAAAAATGGATACTACGACGTAGCCATGGCCCTCATGGAATGTGCACTAGGCATGGAATGTGCAGTTGTTAAATTTGTGAAGAAGATGCTGCGAAGGAAGAATCTGAATAAGCTTGAAGCCCCTGAGTTTTTACATGCTAATAATGTAGGGGAGACCCCGCTTTATATTGCTGCCGAGATGGGATATGAAAATTTGGTGGCAATGATTTTGAAAAAATGCTCCTCACCACCTTATAGTGGTTCATATGGGAGAACAGCTTTGCATGGAGCAATTATCTCCAACAGCGAAGGTGCATATTGTTCTAATCACTATCACTCTGCTCTATATAATAAAATATCTCCCAACTTATGCCCTATACACTCTTCTCCCCCCCCCCCCCTCCAAAAAAAAAAAAAAACATCATCCATTTTCTATCACATGTTCAATCATTTAGTATTTGATTAATTTTTAGTTTAACATAATTTTTATTTCGGACATTATCCATATACGATAATATATACATGTTGAGAAAATTTTGTTAACTTAAATATTTTGAAAAAATTTGTCAATATTTTTAAAAAA